ATAACCTTCCAGGACCCTCCCACCTTTTCCAAAACCCCATAACCTTCCAGGACCCTCCCAACCCATTCCCAGACCCCATAACCTTCCAGGACCCTCCCACCTTTTCCACGACCCCATAACCTTCCAGGACCCTCCCACCTTTTCCACGACCCCATAACCTTCCAGGACCCTCCCAACCCATTCCACGACCCCATAACCTTCCAGGACCCCCCATCCCAGCAGCCCCTTACCTTCCTTGGGGGCTCCGCGCCCCCTGAGTCGCCCCCCCCGCCCCCCAGCACCTCCTGCAGCTCAGCCTGCAAACGAGGGGCGGCTCGTTAACCACTTCCGGCGCCAAAGCCCCAATTTGGGCCGAATTTCCCCCAAAAGGAGGAGCCCTCAGCTCCCACCAGCAGCTCCTCCTCGCCCTCCAGATCTTCATCCTCCTCCTCCTCCTCCTCCTCCTCGCCCGGGTCCCGCATGCACAGCGCTGCCATCCTCTCTATGGCCTCCATGGACACCGGAGCTGCGGGAAAACCCACAAAATCGTGTTGTTTATGGGGTCGTTTTTGGGGTCGTTTTCACCCAATGACAAAATATCCCAAATCCGGAGGAACCCACAAAGGGCCCCGGGGATTTTGTAGGGGATTTCGGACAACGGCTGCGGTGTGAGGAGGGGCTGAGGGACCCCCGGGGGAGGAAACGACACCATCCCAAGAGGGACCCGCAGGTATGGGGTCCTACGGGGGACCTATGGGGTCCTAAGGGGTCCCATGGGTGTCCTGTGGGGTCTTATGGGTCACCATGGGGTCCTACAGGGGTCCATGGGATCCTATAGGGGCGTATGGGGGTCCCATGGGGTCCTATGGGGGACCTATGGGGTCCTACGGGGTCCCATGGGTGTCCTGTGGGGTCTTATGGGTCACCATGGGGTCCTACAGGGGTCCATGGGATCCTATAGGGGCGTATGGGGGTCCCATGGGATCCTAAGGGGGTCACATGGGGTCCAATGAGATCCTATGGGGTCCTACGAGGTCCCATGGGAGTCCTGTGGGGTCCTGTGGGTCCCCATGGGGTCCTACAG